TAATTGGCCGATTCTGTTGATTTAAGAAAAATATATATATAAAATATTTTTTTAATAAAATAAAGAAAAAATCACATGTAAAATAGCTAAAATAGCTAAAATAATCCATCAATTAAACCCCTTTTCTAAAAATTATCATTGAAATATGCTTAATTAAAAAAAAGCTCAATCCAACCGTTTGACTCTTGTTTTTTTACTTGTAATAGCAGGTTTTTTAAATTAAAAAATTCTGAAAAATTATTAGAATTTGAATAAATATAAATAAAATTGCTTAACAATTTAAGAATGTCAAAATATATATATTTTGGTGAATTTTATTTTTTTATTCCACAGTTTTTGGAAAAACTTTTAGATTTTAATTTATATTTTTACATATTCACTTTTTTCCATTTTTTTTTCTTTAATGTTTTAAAATTGTGTATTCTTTCTTTCATTTTTGCCATTTTATATACTGCGTATTATTAGTACATGATTTTTTCAAAATTATATGAATGTCTACTTAACTTATAAATTTATAAATCCTCGTAAAATTATGTTAAAAAATTACCTGCTACAAAAGGTCAAATGACTAGAATGATTGTGTTATCAAAGATTGGGTGATGGAAGACTTGCTTTAACTGTCGTTGGCTCATTTAAACCCATTATCTGATCAGTGAGTTATATTGCTTTTTTAAGGTGATTGACTCTAAGTCTGGTTCTAATGTTGGCGGTTATTTGTGATCCTTTTATCGTTTACTCCCTATCTCAATGATGTGATATCAATTTAAGCACCATTCTTAAAAGAATGATGGAATCTCTTGAAATTGATGAAATTATGACTGGAGTTGAATCTCTTGAAATCTACAGTTACTTCATCTAGAAAAGTAATTACTTCAACCTTACTTTTTCGGCTTATTACCCAATTCAGCGCGCGAAAATAAAAGTTATGTGTTTAATTTGGTGCAAAACACGCCTGATGAACCTGATAAGCCGAAAAACAATGTTGTCAAATGGCTTTTAAAACTAATTTTCATGCCACTAACCAAAACAATATTTTACTCAACTCCAATAGGATCATTTGTTCTGTGCGAGTATTGCATAAGAAACACTATTTTGAAAAATTCTTAGTGTACATTAGTTGTATACAAAGTGTACACAAACCATCCTAATTGTCTGCGCACACATGCAATTCGTTTAAAAATGGGCAATATTTGATGTCAAAACCTTCCTATTTATCTGTATACACAGGCAATAATGTACACATTTTGTGTACAATTTGTATACACCAAAGAAATTATCATCAATCTCTATATATACATTATATTATACATATACAAATAATACGCACGAACATATAAATGTGAGAATAATAATACGATTTACCAGAATTATAACCCTAGATATCATTTACCTGAGTTTCGTTTGCCGCAAATTGTGTTATTCGATATTGTAAATGGGTGCCTCAAAAACTTTTAAATTATTTATTAAAAATTATATGGACTACGGAGTATCGCTTTTTAATGATTTTTGAAAGTGCACATTTACCACCAAGATTCAATATTTTATGTAAATATGTACATGAATTATTATATACTACATATATATTATTGTTGTTTACTAAAACATCTTTTATAAAGTATATTTGCAAGATCAAAACTTTAGTTTAACACACTTGTCATGTTATAAATGTTTAGGAAATGGCTATTGCCTATTGTCATATACCTTTTTTTAAACGAGACGGTTTATATTGATAATAAAACATTCATCAAAGGACAAAAGAGATAAAAGGGACATTTCCAGCCAGCGACCCTCGAACCAGCATGAGAACCAATCACCCTAGGCATAGCAATATGATTCGTTGATCCTGTAGTGAGTCTATATGAGCCTAACGTGGCCAAAGCAAAACCCTCAACCCCTACCTAATGTAAGAGTCTGACAGAACAAAACAACAGTAAAGTGAACAAACAAGATCTTAATGAAAAGCAGGAAAATAAAAACAGTAAAAACGTGGAAATTAAAGTGCATCCTAATAATCATGAACGAGCTACAGCGCCCTCCCATAACTGAAGAAATCTTTAAAGTTCTCAGCGGGTTGATGAGCCTGAACCCGCCCCCTCTCCGATTTTTGGATCATCCATTGCCATGTTCTCCATTTCATCCCTCTCACCACCAGCTTCTTCCAGAGTCCTCCTGCGTTTTTTGGTTCTCCAGTAGCTCCCTACTCAAATGCTATGTCTTCAGTTTCCATCCGACCCTTGCTACCTCCAGTTAAAGAAAGTACTAAATCCCTTCTGTTTGGACCCTCACCCTCGTTTCCTTTTCGACCTGCCTGACCACCATCACCCTGTCCTTCTGGGACTAGCCATTTATTTCCCCCCATTGACCGAGATCTCCCCCGTCCTCCTGTACGTAGACCGACCCCATACACCTTTGTTGCCTCCATATTTTTATTCTCATAAGCCAAGGGACAATATTTTTCAGCATGTCCTATGATACCACATACAAAGCAAAAGCTTGCAACTTTTCATACTTAAAGTCAACCCAGTGTCCTTCTCCCTGCCCCTTCCTGAGAGTCGTACCCACCTTCAACAGTTTCCCCACATCTAGGCAAACTCTAATCCTCATATAAGGTTTCCATTTTTTTTTATCAAATTGACTCGTATCAAAGCTAATGAATTTACCAATAAAATTTCTAATCCTTCTGGCAACCCCCAAATGCATAAATTCATATGGAACATCATGCACTTGAACCCAGAATTCAGTTTCATTTAAAGGAACACGAAGGAGAACATGCCCTGGCTTTAGTGCCCAAAGGATCGGATTAACAAGTTTTGCTCAAATATCTACTGCCCTCCTTCAATAACACGCTCCAAATTGATAACATGATAGAAAGTGAACATGTACCTCTTTTCGCCGATCTCTTTTATGGAAATTCATTTACCAGGCGGTCCAGGCCTCCAGCGTTGAACCATGAGATCTCTAAGAACCAGAAACTTCACCATTAATTATGTCCGTGATCACGGTACCCACCACCAGGAACATCTCTTCATCAGCCAAAGCTTCACCACCATCAACAGTCTCCTCATCGAAAACAATCTCATCCTCTTATGCCCAATAGTCTTGTCCTTGTATTTATCTGCAATGTCCTCCATCCTTTTTGACCGCAGAACCTCCATCGAGAAGTGCAGGCTATCTACGATGAAGCAAAGCGGCCTCCGAAAAGTCTCACCCCTTCGACCGTTCACGCCTAGCGGAAAACTCTTGGACGGCCGAATCCTATCGCGAAAGACAAGAGAAAGCCGAGACTAAGCCTGGAGAAAACACGATCGTCACCTTCGACGGCACCCTTTCAAAACCCTAGAACCCTAGGGAGCCGACAACTTTTTCGGGGAGCAAGAGAAGTGAGATTTAAAAAGTTAATGCAAATGTACATACTTTTTCTTAGTTGCCTATTGTCATATTCCTATTACATGCTTTGTTTTACTTAAATATAACTAATCATTATTTTTCCATCATTTGCAATGGAGCACATGCTTTGTTTTACTTAAATATAAGTAATCATTATTTTTCCATCATTTGCAATGGAGCCAAAGATTCATTATCTTTTGGCTTTAGAATGTGATGGAATAAAGCAAAATGGCTCTAAACTGTCTGTGCTTCTTTGTTATGAAGCAACAGTCAGTCCATACAATTTTGGACCCGATATTCACTATGGGTTATCTAGAAACAGTCTCTCTGTGCTTTAGTACAGGAGAAAATACGGTCGTCACCGCCTTTGCGGCACTAGGGTAAATGAAAATGAAAATGAAATATAACTAATCATTATATTACATCTGTACCCCTTATATAATTAATTAATATAAATAATTGTTCCTCTAATTCTCTTGCATAATCAAGCTAAGATCGGTCTATTGATGATGGTAGCCCGGTGGCGCACAGTGGTGAACTTCAGCAGCGACAAATTGGTTTCGGTTTGACCGAATCGAACTGTACCAAACTAAACTAAATCAAACCCGAAATATATGCGATTCGATTTGAGTTTGGTAGCATTTTTCCAACCTGCCGTAAACCAAATTGACCGAAACTTTGAAATATCTAAAAAATCGAACCAGCCTAAATTATTCAAAAAAACTCTTCATGTATTTTTTAAAAAATAATAAACCAAGCCGAACCGAAGTGGAATGGAACCAAATCAAAACATAGTAATGATTTTTCTTGGTGGTCATTCTTCCTAGCAATTTCAAATCGAACAGAATAAAAAATCAATAAAAACAAGGGAAAACAGTCAAATAGGTCCTCGAACTTTCATAAAAATGTCAATTAAGTCCTTCTATAGGAGGTTCTGTCCGGCCGTCGCGATTTGTGGCAGTTCCCGGTGGAATTTTTTGATGAAATTTTTTGAGCATCTTATTCACCAAGTCTAGTTTACTCATACCAAATTTCAGCTAAAAATTCAATCGGGAACACATTCAAATTAATTCTTGAAGATAACTGTGCATTTTTGCGTTCTCGGATTAATTTGAATGCGCTCCCGATTGAATTTTTAGCTGAAATTTGGTATGAGTAAACTAGACTTGATGAATAAGATGCTCAAAAAATTTCATCAAAAAATTCCACCGGGAACCGCCCCAAATCGCGACGACCGGGCAGAGTCTCCTATAAAAGGACTTAATTGACTTTTTTATGAAAGTTCGAGGACCTATTTGACAGTTTTCCCTAAAAACAAACCGAAACTTAATAACCCATGAAAAATCTTTAACTTGATCCAGCCGAGTAAATTTTTTGGAAACATTTTAGTCTGATCTTTAGGTGAAGCTTGGATGTCCGAAACCACCTTGGCTGCAAAGATAAAAAGAAACGAAAATACACTACTCCAAGTAATTGCAGTTATCATTTAATGTGGCAATTAATAACAGATAATGAAATCAAGAGAGAATCACAATACCTAATTAACCAACTCTTAGCCGCCTGAAGATAGCGTATATATGCAACTACAAGACCTCTGGCGCAATCACTGAAGCTCATCACAATCATCAATGGCGGACAAAGAGAACAAATCTGAGGAGAGGCGTAAAAGGGTGCGTTATGAGAACAGAAAAGCGAGCATTTTGAAACAAGGCAGAGAGTTATCCACTCTCTGCGGCGTGAAGCTCTGCCTCATGATCGTTACCCCAGATGGAAAGGTGGAAACCTGGCCTGAGAATCGGGATGACGTCAAGGCCATTCTCAGCGCCGCCGATGCAGCGCCCGAAAAGAAGGTCGTCGCCGCCCCCTCCCAACCCACATCATCTGATTCTGATCAGCCGGCTATGAAAGACTGCCGCCCTAGAAAGCGGAGCCGAGATCCCCTGCCGCAGATGATGGGTGTTCCGGACAAGAAGACAGAGACAACGATGACTACTAACGATTCCACTAATTACAACGTTAACGGGTTTGAATCGTTACCCATGCTGGATAATACCTGGAATCTAGGAGATGACAGTTCTACTGTTGGTATTAATGGCTATAGTCATTATTTTGAGAAGAATCTGTGTCATGAAGATCCTGTTGTTTGTGGAGGATCTTATGAGTTGCCACAAAATGGGAGGAGTAAAGGAAGTGATTATGATCTGCAGATTCAAGATCCTTCTTTCCTCTATTTGGATTATGATGAAGATTTCGTAGGACAATTATGGGGTACCGGAGATCCTTTCGAGTGGAATGGTTACAAGTCTGACGTCAGAACGATGGTGCCGCCGCCGCAGCCTCGGTGTTTTGCCGGCAGCATGTTGGATCCTTTGATTAATGAGCAGCCACTGCGGCAGTGTGGGTCTGATGATGGATTTGAAAACATTCTGCTTGGCGGGTTTTATTAATTATTCTTTAATATTCAATTGGACTAATTATTGACTGCAAACCAATTGGTTTGATGTTAACACCAGTGATGAAAACATTGATTGAGAACTCTGTTTATGTAAATTTGATCCATTGCATGATCAGTTTGATTATATGAATTGTTTAGATTGATTCAATTGCTCTGTGTTTCGGATTATTGATTATCTTACATTACAAGAACTTGTCATAGACTCATAATTATCTCGGTGCTTGAGTTTCTATAATCACATTCTTACATAGGAGTATAGGACATTTGACTACTATTTGACTATTTCTATCTGATTTGTCTTATCTCTCATTATTTTACTAATCATGTAAATTTTAATTTTGCACTCTACACTCTATTAAAATCAAAATAAATACTACCTCCTTTCCTGAAACAACTTCCCACTTTTCTTATTTGGATGTGCCTAATTTAACCTCTCATTTTCTTAAATGGGAAGTTGTCTACATCAAAACACTATCAAATAGTGCGAAACAGTGCCAAACATTGTCAAAACAGTGTCAAAACAGTAAAATTTACCTCCTAGTAAGTTTTTTCTCTTAGTATGTGTGTTGGTCAAACCGGGAAATTGTTTTGGGGACGGAGAATGTATGTTTATACTTGGACTGAAACTTACTTGTATAATTTGGTTTGTTTAACTCTGACCTGATCTGGTTTGAAACTGGAAACAGTCTTAATAAAAACACTTTAACTAAGGTTTTAAAATTATATTTCCAAATGAATTGACTAAAATTATTTCAAATAATCACTTTAGAATCATCTATAAACTAATATTTTTTTGTATTTGATAATAATATCTCCGATAATCTTAGATAGGAATCAGTTCAATCGATTGAATTTGATGAAAATCTAGTTAAACTGGTTGAATGACCTGAATTGGCTTAAATACGGAAATATTATATTTAAAATATATTCTATTAATAAAATTAAGATAAAGTTATATTAAAATAAGCTAAAATGGTAATCTATATTAAGTTCATCCAATTCTGTTAAAAAACAATTTCAACTTTATTTATTTTGACTGTTATACAATTCTGTGTGAAAATAAAAAGTTGTTTTAAAATTAAAATAGATTGACATGCAAAACTGATATGTTCAAAATGTAAAGAAGGCTCCATCATTAGGATTGGGTGATGGGAGTATGCTTTAACCGTCATTGGGTCATTTATGCTAATTATCGGATCAGCGAGTTATATTGTTTTTTTTAATGTGATTGACTCTAAGTTTGATTTCATGGTTGGCACTTGTTTGTGGTCAATTTTATCGTTTTACTCCCTATGTGAATGTTGTGATATCAATTTAAGCGCCCTTCTTCAAAAACAAATTGACCGAATCTCTTGAAATTGATGAAATTATGACTGAAGTTGAAGTTGAAGTTGAAATTGGACGAAGAGTCAATAACCCATACGAGGAATTTGACTCACTAACCACATCATGGACAACCCACAACCAACACTCACCAAACCAGCGTCTTCTTTATTGACCTTCACAGGGACCTAGAACTTTACACCGGAAAGAACTTGGTATTGGAGTTTAATTTCAAACTTAAGGGCACAATTTTCATACTTAATAACATAACTCTTTAGAGGCTTCTCTCACTCGGAGCAACTGTGTGAGAGCAACTCTTTAGAACCTTCCACTGTATCCTTTGTTATATTGCAGACAAATTATTGTAGATAAACCTAAACTGTGTGAGAGCAACTACCTATTTATTTTTGTTACTGGCCGGAAATTTGTAATTATGAGTCAAAGTAAGCATTATATTAGTTCATCAAGTGTAGGAAAGGACTTAAGAAAACCAGACTATACCAAGAACAATATTGAATAATTACAACTTATTTAATAATATAAATTCTATACTCTTTTAATTTTGGCCCAACATATTCTCTAAATGATAGTTCCATCTCAAATATTCATTTTATTTGCATGGTTCAAACTCGTAGTTGTCAACATTGAAGATCAATAGGTACATTCTTATGTAATCACGAGTTGAAGATATATATGTATTATAATATATAGAAGAATTAAGAAGAAGAAGAAGAATCGTATCGATCGGGTTAGAAGTAAACTACAAATACGTGTGTAATATGTAATGTATGTTGATGTATGTTTTGTTTACACATGTTTATTTGCTTAACTTTTTAAAATAAAAAAAAAATGATTAGAGCATTTGAATTAATTTATTAATTGAGAGCTTTTATAAAATGTTGATCAAGATTTATTTACTCATTAAAAAATTTTTTACACCTAACAAACAATAATTGTTTAATCTCTAAAAATCAAATAATTACATTGATAACATATGAGATAATATACTCATATCATGAAACAAATTGTTAATCCGAAATGTGTAAAAATGGAAGATGCATGATATAATTATGAATGATCAATCCTTATAGTCATATAATGTCTAATTGCTAGATAAATCTTATGTAAATATAAATCAATATAACAACTTATCTTGGTATACATATGATTGATTATTATTGCATGATTTTTTAGTTTGGACTCATTTAGGTTGGTTATGTCTTATGATCTATAAGTATGTGAAAATTATATTTTCCATATAGTTATACTATCTTTTATTTTTTTAAATCGAATTTGGTATTGTGAAGCTCATCATTACCATTTCAATGCAACAACAAAAAATCGAGGTAACTACAAGCACTTGAAAACAAAATCTCTGCAAGGTAGTTTAGCAATGATATGGCACATAAAGAAAGCTAAATATATATATTACACAAATCTCTTGGATCGATATATATGATATACCGAATTAAAATACTATTTAAACGGGAAGAAAGTTTGAAGCAAAGTATGCATTCAATATCCATCTTTGTAGACATATAGCATTTGAAAGAACAAATCGAAGTATAGAAATTCAAAAAAAAAAAATATAAAATAAAGAACTATGAACTTAATAAACTAATTTTAACTTTTCCCCTTTTATTTCATTATGATTGGTAGAGTACAAAAATATAGATATTTTATTAATATATAAATCCATAGGTATATAATTGAAGGTGGTGACATTTTAATCATCCTTGATATGAACATGAGTGATAATTATATTGCAATCATATGAAGACCGATGTATCAACTCCCTCCACTTTTCTTCATTCCTAGCATGGAACGCTGAAAAATAAATTGAATAATTAGTATCTGACCAATAATACAATATTAGTGAATAATATTAAGAAAATTAAACAAAAATAAAATATGATACTTGGTAAAAAGAGAAATATACCTTTGGTACCAAATTTTAACCCTTCCAAGATTGCGCATGGCGTCACCTTGACCCGATTTTCCCATGTAACCAAAAGCTAGTCCACCGAAGTCAAACCAAACCGGTTCATTGTTGCATGCACCCGGACATTCATCTGTTATGTAAACTTTAATGGGTTCTCCTGAGCATATTGGATTTTCAGTGCATTTAACTTGTGATATAGATATATATCACATATATATAATATGTACGTAGTTCGGTATGCATGACAATCTATCCCTTGTTCATATGTGTGTACATGATGCATTATATTAAATCATAAATAGACCTTTTTATGAACCATAATTATGCATTCATGCATTATATGCGTGTACACATAGCTTCACTCAAATAAGAAAAAATATCCTACTTTTCCCGTAATTTTTATTTGTTTCGCTTCGTATGATACTTTAGATTAAAATAGTACTCCGTAGTATATAAAAATAGTAAAAAAAAAGTAAAATAAATCATGAAAAAGGGAAAGCAGTTTAGCATAGAGATGAAAATGTAATACTATTTTCTTATTTTGACATGTTTATCATTATCAAAAAGAGTAAGTCAAACTTAATTAGAATAAGAAAAGATTTTTTTCTGAAATATACTAAATATATAACATTTGTGGGTAAGAATATGACCACAGTGACTATCAATATATTTTTATGGTCACATTGATGTAAAATTTAAACATAATTATAGTTTCAAAAGTTATTAAGTTACACTTTTATTCATTATCTATATTTTGATCACATTTTAGATATTAATCCATAATGCAACATCTGATGGAAATTGTTGTTGATACACCATTTTTATCAATAAGCTATAATAAAATTATAGTAATAATATAAACTTAAGTGAGCTGCATTAATTTGTTGATATATTGTTATTATAATTGTTAAAATAGTAAATATTCTCTATTACACTAATATTATTTATTTATCATTAAATCATATTTATTATAACTAATTAAGATCTATTTCCAAAGTACCCACTATATACCTGGTAACATTCTCCACATCCTTTGCCACTCTTATATAGAGCTTGGTTTCCCGCAGAAATCATGGAATTGTAGGGAGGCTTGCTAACGTCTCCAAATGCACAAGCTCCAGTATCTATAAATTGTAAAAAGAGTGTATAATATACAATATTAATAATTGGGACCGCCCACACACACGTATATATGGGAGGGTTTTAATGAGAACCACTTTTATAATTAGAATGAGAACTCATTTATAGATCAAATGAGATCTTTTAATTTCCACCTTTGATATTTTTGTAATAATGCTACAAAATAATGCCTGTTTTACTTTTTATGATTATACACAGGATCCTATGCATGTGCATCCTACCAATGGTCGTATAAAATAAAAGCTTGTAATTACAATTTTTATTATAAGTAATTCTCAATTTATGTTTGATTCTCACTAGCTAAAACTCTCCTCATATAGGGATCGGATGTGTGTGTGTGTATTTCTCAATCCATTTCTACTTCTATATTTCTTTTCCAATATACACATGCATTTTGTTCATTTTATAACTTTGTGTATCAAAACTTTATTGTATCAGAATTTGGTTCAATATAACTTTTAGTGCAATTTCTAAACATCCGTATTTTTATTATTAATATTGGTATGAATATTAGCACAAAATACTTAACTTATGATTAGTCAACTTTGAAAACTGTAAATGACATATGTATATAAATTCAAACCAAACTATTTTCAATAAAATGCACATTTAATAAGGCATGAATCTAGCAAGATCTACTGTTTCCATG